GTTGTGCACCCAAGAGGATTATGGCTGCCTCTGCTGAGTCATCCCAGTTGTCAGGGAATTGGAGGAAAACTGGCCATCACAGGCCTCACTTAGCTCCCACGCAAACTGAAGGGCCTATCTCACTCCCACTGTTCCCCGCAACAGCCCTGAGTCTGTTTCCAAGTGGTGGGCAAGCCAGGCTTGAGAACTTGCCCCAGGCCACCTGTCTCCCACCTTCAAAAGAAAAGTGCCTGGTTATTCTTCTGCCTGTGGAGACTCCACACTGGATTTGCACTCTCCCTCAAGTTCTGGCCAGGAGGCTTCTCCCCTTGTTTAAATGATTACAAAGTTCAGCTGGAAATTTCCTTCTTCCTGTGGTGCTTACCCGGCCACCACCCCGCTGGCCCCACTCCTTTGGCTGCCCTTCTAATGGATCCCTGTGGTGCCATGCAGGAATGGCCTGATCAGGGACCTGGCAAGTTTTTGCTGCTTTCTCTACCCTTGTATTTTGCTTGGCTTGGCTCTCTAAATTGACTCTGGCTTAGGTAAGGTTGGAAACTTCTCCCACAAACTGACCTTCAGTTTCTCCAGTGGCAGTGTGTATTCAGAAGAGGAGGCTTTCCCTTTCCCACTTCTGCAGTTGGGGCACTCAGCAGTATTTGGGGTGTCTCCCAGATCCTGCAGGAGCAGTCTGCTTCCTTCGAAGGGTCTATGGGTCCTTCGTCATAGGGATAACTTCTACTTAACTGTTTAAGATTCACCTTCTCTGAAATCTCACCACTTATGACAACTTGGATGAAACTGAAAGACGTTTTCCTAAGTCAAATAAGCCACACATAGAAAGATAAGTATTGTATGATGGTATTTATATGTGGAATGTAAACAAGCCAAACTTGTAGAAGCAGTTTTACCATGGTTGCCAGGGGTTGGTGTGTGACAAAAATGGGTATATGTTAGTCAACGGGTATATACTTTCAATTATAAGATGAGTAAGTTCTGGGGACCTAACTTACAGCATGGTGAAGATAGTTAATAATACTGTATTGCTTACTTGAAATTTGCTAAGAGAGTGGATCTTATGTGTCCTCATAGCACATACACCCAAAGGCAAGGGGCAAAAGTGTCGATGGATATATTAATTAATTTGAGTGTAGTAATCATTACACAATGTATATTTATAGGTAAATGAAAGCATCATGTTGTACACCTTGAATATATACATTTTTTGTTAATTATACCTCAATAAATCTGGAAAAAGATTCACCTTCTCTGATAAATTTTTAGGCTGAGAAACTGTCCTCTATGCTGTGAGTAACTCTATTTTAGTTCCGATATAAATGTGTTTATTTGTCTTCACTCCTGATCTTTATCTTTGCACTTTCAACATTTAGCACACTGCCTTGATTCAGCATTGAGGATCAGCATAGGAGAGGCTCAACATATTAGAGGCTGATCAAATGGTTAAATTTATTAACTGATAGTTTAAAGCCCTCCATTTTTATTTTTTAAAATAATATTCCTAAATATATTTTGTTCTCTTGCCAGGGTTAAAACTCACATGTTACTTCTCTACCCACTTGCACAGACTTGTAAGGTCTTTTTAAATCCCATCTGTGTGTTTCTTCGTCAGCTGGAAACATTTAATGTCTTCTTAACTTGGAAATCTCCTGTGAGCTTTCTTCTGGAACATTTAAAAAAAGATTTGAAATAAGTATCAATCCTTCAGGAGCTGATTTCTTTATACTTCTCCATCCAAAGAAATCCCTGATTAACTTTACTACTTAATTCCTATATTGACCTGGTGTAAAATTTTAGGGTAAATGAACAACCTATGAACCTTTGAACCTACGGTATTATCAGTTAAAATAAAACAACCACAAATGCCACTACCACACACATATGTTTAGGAGGTGACAGTCACTAATTTCTCTTTCATCTGTGTGCCTATTTACTACATTAAGTTTATAATACATGATATTCTTTGGGAGAAATGGTCATGCCTTGTCAATTTTCCTTACATAAACTCTGCAACCTGCTCCTTTTCCCCTGTCCACTGCTGTAATGTTACTTTGTTATGTTCACTGATCTAGTCCTTTTTTGCAGGCTTAAAGGATTGCTATTTGGGCTCATTATGGATTCTGTAATTGCCTTGGGCAGAGATGACAAAGCATAGGCTCTAAAGTCAAAACATATTTGTATTTTTAATAGTTCAAAGTCCCCACACATTAAAGTTACCACAGTTTTCCATCAGATTACACATTGTCACCATCAGAGCAATAGAAATAATTTTAACTTTAGCTTTCTTGGTTATAATCTATGTTCAAGTTTTTTACCTTTCAGAAACAACCTAAACTTTGACACTATCATTCTAAATAAAGAAGCATAATGTATAGGTCACTTCAGAGGAAATTATGTATTAAGTTGTAATTATATAATAATATTAGAGAATTTGCTTTAGCTCTTTCTGAATATTTATACTTTTAATTATTATTCATCTGAGGAGTTATACATCCTTTCTAAATATTAAATGATTTATCCTCTAAGTTACACTGATGACTGCAGGTAGAGCTTGTAACACTGTGGGAAATACAAAAATCAGTAAGATTATCACAGTACAAAAACAGTACATCAAGTTTGACAAATGTAAAGAATAAATCAATTCCATATTCTTTCTATACTTTTGTTCTATTTTCCACTTATATTCCATTTCTGATGTGCCATGTACTCAATCTTGTGAGAAGTATCATATCCCATTTTTACAGATAGAAAGACACCGAAAGAAGATATGACTTACCCATCTCATAGTGCTAATGACAGAGCTGAAACTAAATCCCAGACCATATATACAGGAGGAAATCGTAACGAGCCAAGCAAAAAACAGAATGTCTTTTCTTGGGTAATTAGTGAGTATGAATAGTGGGTTGATAGCTACTTCTAACTGTTCTCCCTATATTTTGTAATGAACCTAATCTCTCCAAAGACTGTTTGAAGTAGCAGACAACCTTTATTTTCAGAAGGGAAGGGACTAAAAATATAGTAGCACAAGCTATTTATTAACCTCAGGCAATGTAATTCCCAGAGTAGCAGTGCCTTGTGAACAAAGTATAAGGTGTGCAATCAGTAGACTTAAGTTTAGATCTTAATTCTTTTACTAGTTTCTATCTCTTTACACCAAACACCTGTTTAGTTGAAATGGGACTAATAATAGCAGCGTCATTCCCTCAGAGTATTGTGATGATCAATAAGATACTATATAGAAGCACTTTATAAGCTACATGATATTATACAAATACAAGTCCTCATTCTGTGTAGCAATTAAGAAATTTTTCCTATGTAGGGAAGAATATCACATATTATTTAGGATGAGAGCTTATAAGTTATACTGATTTGGGTTACAAGACAAGAAATACCACTATCTAGCTCTGCCATTTGGCTAAGAAACTTCATTTTTGAAACCTTAGTTTTCTGAGTTTTAAAATGGGAATAATAAAATCTCTCATGAGATTTTATGAAGATTACATGATATTTTATATATGAAGTACATGAACTATTGTAAATGTCCCTCGAGTTAGCTTTTTTTTTTTTAACTGAAGTTTTAATTTAGGAATAATTTTAGATTTACAGAAAAGTTGCAAAGGTGCTACAGAGCGTTCTCATTTACCTTTTTTCAGTTTTCTCCATTGTTAATACTGTATCTTACATTTTCCACTATAAAGAAATGGATACCACTGCATTGCTATTAGCTATTAATAACAGTTTTGGGGTTCCACCAGTTTTTTATGAACCTCTTTCAGTTCCAGCATCTAGTCCTCAGTACCACGTTGCATTTATTTATGTCTGCCCAGTCTTCTCTGTTCTGTGACGGTTTGTCAATCTCCTGTTTTTCATGACGTTAATGGTCTTGAGGAATACTGCCCAGACATCATTTAGGAAGTTCACCAATTTCATTTGTTTATTTCTTTTCTCATGCTTAGACTGGAGTTATGAGTTTCTGTAGAGAATGTCACAGAAATGGCATACTTTTTTTGTCACAGTATGTTAAGGGGCACATGATATCCATGTGATATCACTGATGATGTTAACCTTCATCACTTGATTAAGCCCTTGCCAGACTTTTTCCTTGTATGTTGAGCTAGTTCTGATCACCTGCCACTTAGATAGGACATTCTCTTTCCTCTGTTCCCTCCAATGTAATGCTGTTCCTTTATATACAATGCAAATTGTCATATCTGCAGAAATACCTCTCTGACCATTCAACCTAAAGCAGCTTTCTCCTTTCAAGTCAGTGTCTATGATATTCACTTTTGTATTTTGTTTGTAGCATTTATTGTCACCTGAAATCATCTTGTATATTTGTTTATATAGTTTATTATTTGTCTATAGGCCCTTTTCCCCTAAAAGAAAGAAGAACAAGGCCTTCGTAGGATTTTTCACATCTGTACACTGGAGTCTAGCACAAGGGCTAGAATATGCTAAATGCTTAGTAACTAATTGTTGAATAAATGTCAAAGAAAGAATGACATAGGATTAATTTGTTAGTATTTCTGAAAAAGAAAAGAAAAATAGCTGCATAGTGGGAGGTTTCATTTAATTGTTCTTAACTCAATTGGTTTAATTTTAACGAAAGGTTAAATGCAATTATCAACATCTATGGAAAGAGGTAATCAGCATCCTTGTAATTCAAGCTCTTAATAATTCAATAATTATTAAGTGTAATTCAATACACTTAATAATTCAAATGCCAGAGTATTTTAGCTACTTATAAGGCTTTAACTGACAAAGATTTGACTGAATAGTAATAGATCTTTACACATCTGCACTTGTTAACTGTGTCATCTTTTATAATGTAGAATTTTTAACAGAATCTGAAGGAATGTAGAAATAATGGATACCCTTGATTATAACTTAGAGCTGACTTCTCTTATCTTTTCATTTACACTTACTAAAAAATGAAGCTTTTAATTTTAGTATTTCTTCCATAACCCATTGTAAGATACCACTCTTTTCATTTTTCTTCTCAGGACTTAAAATCTCCAAATCGGAGGGATGAAATTGCAGGAGCCCGAGCCTCATTGAAGGAGAACTCTCCCCTCTTGCATTCAATTTGTTCAGCTTGTTTGGAGCATTCTGATGTTCCTTCCCTCAAAGCAGGCAAGGACACAGTTTGTGAAGAAATTCAGAATGCCCTCGATGTCATTTCAAATGCTTCACAAGGCATCCAGAATATGACAGCCCTACCAGAACCTCAGGCAGCAACCCTGGGAAGTGCCCTTGATGAGCTGGAGGTAAGTCAGGAGAAAGATAAAGTGTGATTTGATGTCCTAATACAATAGCAATAATATTAATAAAACAGAAGAAGATCAACATGTTGGAGTTTAGAGCATGAGAAAATAAAAAATCCAGATTAGTCTCTATCACCTTGAGTCTTTCAAAGAATTGATTAACAGGAAAATTCTCTATTAGTATACCTCTCATTCCGGCACATCTCTGCCAAGGAAACCAATGAATCTGAAGTGGAATTGTTAATTAGATTGAAATGATGAGGTTGTTTTATGTAGATCAAGTTATGAGCATAAGATTTATTTACTCCTCAAATACTTATTGGCATTACTGTTTTATGTGCTTGGGATGTATCTGATCACTGCCATTGACAAGTTTTTACATTTTAGCTGGTGATTATAGACAAAAAATAAAACAAAAAAATATTGTAGAGAACTGAATTGTATGGTATGTTTCATTGAGAAGGTGAGGTATTACCAATGCCATGAAAGAGTTCAGGAATTGGGCAGATGAAGATATAGAGCAAAGGCTTGAAGGTATGTGCCCCGTGTTTAAGTAACAACATAAAAACCAGGATGTCTGGGTGGAGAGAGCAAGGTGATGAGTAGTAGGAGCTAAGGTGAGAGAACCAACAAATGAGGAAAGTGTATGCCTTTAAGGACTTTGGCTTTTACTGCAAGTTACATGGGAATACACTATAAGGTTGTAAGCAAAGGTGTGACCTGCTGAGACTTGTGTCTTATAAGGGCTATGATAGTTGCATAAGGAACATCGACTGAAGGAGAGCAATGGGAGGAACTGAAACACCAGGCCAGAGGGTATTGTAGTAACCCAGGTTCCATTCGTACACTTTCCATGAACCACCTCATGGTTTAGTTTTGACTAGGGTGGTGTTAGTGGACATCATTGCTAAATTTTGTAAGTAGCATCAAGTGAATTTTGACAGAATGTGTGTGAGACACGAGAGAAAGGAAGGAGTCATGGCTAGTATTGTGGGCTGGGTCCTCCAGAATCACACACAGAATGAAATTTGGAAAACAAGGTATTACATTTGGGAAGGAAAGAGGGAGGGAGCAGGACTGGATGGAAGAAGTCTACCTGAGAGCTAGACCCACACAGCCTAGGCCAATCAGCAGGGAGCTCTGGTGAGAGCATTGCCTTCCAGAGTGTTCCTTGTCAGGCAGAAATGGCCAGGCCTGTATGTCTCTTTCAGTCACTGGATGCAGGCTACTCTGCCCTGGGAAGGGTATGACCTTTAGGGCACTGCAACACTATACATACATACTGAATATGTGTCATTTTTGTGCCATGACAAAGCTAGAAAAAATTATAAGTTGATCCATTGTTAAGTCAAGTCAGTGACCATCTGTAGTCTGTATTTGGGAAGTGTCGAGGGCAGTATGTTCAAATTTGCTAGAGCAGATGGATAGGATCACAGAGGTTCTATATCCCCTATCTGAAATGCTTGGAACCAGAAGTGGTTTGGATTTTGGAATTTTTTGGATTTTGGTATATTTGCATATACCTAGTGAGTTGTCTTGGGAATGGGATTGATGTGAAACATGAAATTCATTTATATTTCATATACATCCAATACACGTAGCCCAAAGGTAGTTTTATACAACATTTTAAATAATATTGTGCCTGAAATGAAGTTTTGACTGTGTTTTAACTGCGACCTGTCACATGAAGTTAGGTGCTGAATTTTCCCATTGTGCCATCACATTGCCATTCAAAAAGTAGTGGATTTTGGAGCATTTTGAATTTCAGATTTTTAGATTAGCAACACTCAACCTGTATAGCAAATTTTTCCCAATACTAAACAAAGTTCTGTCAAAGAATGCTCCCATAATAGCTCCAGTTTATTTCAGACAGTGCGTTCTATGTTTTAGGATTATAGAAGACATTTCCAAATTGTTCCTCCATCTGAGACCTCTTCTTTTTTCTCACTTTAGTTGAAAGTGACTACTACAGGCACAAAATGACAGTGGTTGGAGAGGAGGAGAAAGCATGTGTGTGGTGTGTGTGTGTGTGTATGTGTGTAACTTTGATGGGAGTCAGCATAGGAATGACAATAGAGTGTTCTCTTTCTCAAGAAAGGCACACTCACTTCTTCTGCATGAGGTGGGAGGGGGTCCAAAAGATATTTCTCTGAGATCCTATTAAGGATTCTAAACTGTCTGAACAACCTTTGAAATTTAGTTTGAGTCAAAAATACAGATGTGCAAACTAGTAAAAAAAGTCTAAGTTTTCTATATTTTTTATATCCAAGTTACAAATAGCTGCTGCAGCTGTCTGAGCTAGATAAAGCAGAATTTATTGGGCATTTAACCTTTTTTAATGATTTGGTAAATTAAATGGTTGCACTTTTCATTATTTACAGGAACTGTATTGGTAAAGGACCCAAAATAACCTTTGCTCTATTTTGCTCCTGCAAATATAATACTATGAAGTAAATTGATGTAGTAAACACTCTGCTGGGAGCAAGTCTCATTAAATGTTTATAGTGTGGAAATGTATCAGAGTGCTTACTCAACAACCGTGCTGTAGCTGTTGTTAAATTTTTCATTCTGGCCCTGAGCTGGGTATAGGTATGAAACCTGAAATTTATGAGTGGAGAAAATAGAATGAATTAGACCACTATGCTGGCTAAATCAATTGATTTGTTAGAGAGGCCATTGTGAATTATAGAGTTTTTCTTCTGTATTTGTGACTGAATGAGAGTTGAGAAGTGTCGAATTTTAGATTAAGAGAATTTTGAAAATGTTTTGAAGCAAGAAACTTTGCCAGTAAAAATTGCTTTGAAAATTCCAAGTCCATTAAGACATATTTTCTCCTGTGAGGAGGGAAAAAGCAGCTGTCATAATTGTGGTACACAAGAATAACAAATTATACGTATGTAGTATTTTCTAATTTTCAAAGAGCTATCATATGTACTTTTTTTAACCTTTTTTGGACATTCATATATTATCATTCATGTAGTCTGTTTACTGCTGTATTTCCAGCACCTAAAATAATGCCCAAAATGTAGTTAAGTGCTAGGTAAATATCAATGAATGCATGAATGAATGAATATAAGACTATGGCATATCATTTTAAAGAGCATTTTTTCCTTACCCTTATTTTTTTCTCCTTCTTCTGACTGAAAGTGGATGTATTTTGGGGTATATGGCTCTACTTTAACTTTTAATCAGGCCATGAATTTATATTGATGGAAACCACCAGAAGCACATCTAAGTGATGCGCTGCTCAGAATCTTTTCTGTGAAAAGGCAGCAGAAAGAGAAAAAAAAATACACACACACACACACACACACACACACACACACACACACACACATATATGCTCTTCTCTCAGCAGCTGTCCAGCCTTAGTCAAGCTTCCCTGTTACTGCCAAGATACTCTGTCTTTTACTAAGGATAATAATTTTGGGGAAGATACTCCTTATGTTCTTACATTTTCACCTTAAGGAGAAAACAGGACCTCTGTCAATCAGGTTAGTATTTAGAAGCTAAAGAAGAAATAGACATTACTGGTACCTGAAAGCACAAAAAAAAATGCTTTCGTTTCTAGCAATATAGTGAACTATAACAACTAAAAGAGATGGGGAAAATATTTTAATATAGATAAATAATCTGATAAGTGAATATTATTTGAGGCTGATACAAAAAGCACAAAATCCAAACTAATAAGTGAATGCCAGCATCGTGCTGGAGGGTGGGGGAATTGCTTTTCAATTATGGCCTGGAGCTTCAATTTTGAAAGACTATGAACAGAAAACAAAAGATAAATTTTGCATCCTGCAAATTGGAAAGTCACATAAGGTACATTTGCATATAACTAGGAATCTTTAAAAGTTGACCGTCTTATTGGATAAGTGAAAAAAACACTAACCTGAATAGTAGGAGCTATTGGGAGAATTTGATTAGCATAGCCTTGGCTCTGGGAAGCTCAGAAAAAGCAACAGAATCCATGTTGGAATTTTCTAGCCATAGGCCAGTCGTTATCTGGACTTTGGGTTAGCATTCATATTATTTGTGTAGCCTCTAAAACCCCATCCAAAAATCTAATTTAAAATGGTCTTATCCTGGCAATACCTCCAGAGATCTGCCAGAAGGAAACTCAGATTCTTTCTGCACTTTCTAAACAGCTTTCAGAAAATTCTCATACAGTTCCAAGGAAGATGGTTTTCACGAGACACACAAATAAGCCATCTTAAGAACTTCATAGAAAGAACAAACTATGGAATCAGATGTGAAAATACTGTAGATATAGAAATTCTAAGATACTGAAAAAGTTAGTATTTTTTTGAGACAGAGTTTCGCTCTTGTTACCCAGGCTGGAGTGCAATGGTGCGATCTCGGCTCACGGCAACCTCCGCCTCCTGGGTTCAGGCAGTTCTCCTGCTTCAGCCTCCTGAGTAGCTGGGATTACAGGCACGCGCCACCATACCCAGCTAATTTTTTGTATTTTTAGTAGAGATGGGGTTTCACCATGTTGACCAGGATGGTCTCGATCTCTGACCTCGTGATCCACCTGCCTCGGCCTCCCAAAGTGCTGTGATTACAGGCGTGAGCCACCTCTCCCGGCCAAAGTTAGTATTTTTAATATGCATTATTCCCTAATAAATATGTTGAAGAAACGAAAGACTGTCAACATTGACCAGGCAGAGCTATGTAAAATGAAAAACACAAGGATGAAAAATTCAAAGGTTAGGCAAAACAGGTGATTCGATTAGAAAATTGGTGATCTGAAAGATATTTGAAGAGGTTACTTTGAGTTTTCCACAGAAAGAAACAGAAGTAAAAAATATTTTTTGAAAAGTAGTTAAGATATATGCCATGACAAGTTGTAAAATATTGTAATATAAAATTCAGAAGAGAGAGAAGTGCAAAACAGATACAGAGAATTTCCTAGAACTGATGGAATTCACCATTCTCTATAGTTAAGAAGCCCAGTAAATCCCAAGCAAGGTATATTTAAAGAAACCTGTATTTACACCTAT